TTTCTTTGAATCATAAGCATATTTAAATATGCTTTTCTTATTATTGTGCCTATTGTTTTAAGAATTTAGTTCACTCTTTTGCTAATTTAAAAAGAGAGTTTAGCAAAATTAAGTAGTGCAACATTGACTTGTTCTTTTTATACAACTGTTTTGGTAATGATATATTTACATTTATTTATTAATGTATGTCATTATGTATTTATTTAAACAAAATTATTTTTTAATGTTTACTTATCTTTCTCTTTGGGTGCAACATCCACAATGTATCTTTGTCATTTGTACAATTAATCATAATTCATTTAGTTTTGATTTTTTTATTGTTAAGGTATTTCATTCTTTCTTTAATTTAAGTTAGTTTGCATGCAGGTTGTAATAAATTTATTGTGCTAATAGAAAATCACCAAATCTGTAGTATAAGATATCATTCAACCAAACAAATTAATGTGATATTCCCTTAGTCTCAACCAAACACAAATGGGATACAATTCAATGCATTCCCATCAACCTGACATCCCCAACAATTTGACATTCCCAAAGTAATCTGACATTTCGTGAACCAAACGGGGCCTAAATCTATTCAAGTTTCTTCTCACTTCATCATCCGGCGACTGCCCTCTCCACTGGCCACTGACGATGACAATGACATTTTTAAAATTACATGTATATTCACTTTTTTTGGAATTTTTAAAAAGTAGTAACATTTTTGTCAATGAGCATTATATTACATTAGTAATTATGCCAGAAAACCCCCCTTTTCCCTAGAATTTCCGATATTGATATTAAAACTTAGTGTCCTTCAATTTATTGTCCAAACCCAAAGTACCAACATTTCAATATTTTTATCGTGGGTTACACGCATTGATGTGTGAATACGATTTCTTGGGCAGTTATATTTTTCCCACACCACCATGCCACAATTTGATACCTATGGTCATATAGTGAGGTGAGCTTAGTGTGTTATTTTTTCCATTTTCTTCGTTTAAAACTCAGAATGCATCATTACTTTTTGATATTTTTGGATTTTTTAAAAACACATATCTTCTATGTCCTAGGCTATGTTTGGCAGGAGCTTTCAGCTGATAATGGGCTGGAATTTTTAGAATCCAGCCAATAAATATAAATGTAATACTGTTTGGATAGAGGGCTGAATTGAGCTGAAGTTGGAAAAACATGACTTATTCAAAACGTTAACATGTGAAGCGTTTGTGGTCAGACGATGTATTCCTGAGTTCCCTACCGAAATTGTCCCATAGTCGACAACGCTTTTTTTTGCCGGATGAATTTAAATAGGCTACGGTGCTCCTATTTCTTTAATAACTGCCGACTATAAAAATTGCCAATAATGAATCAAAAAGGGAGAATCAAACATCAAGATATGAGAAGCATCTCAAATTGCCCTCCTCTGGTCTATCCTTGGTGCTTAAAAAATTTCTGTATTTTTGGTTATAATTGATCCTTTCCTTCCCAATCAGACAGTGTGGAGTTGGTCGCTGATTACCCTGCTTTTCATCTGATATTCATCTGTTAGCTTTGTTTTGCATTGCTGCTTGAATTTTAATATGAATTCATCTCAAACAATACGAAAAAGGAAGCTCTCGTACTTAATTCGTTGTAAAAAATATACATTTTTTAAAAATATAAATACTATAATCGTAATAATTGTTAAAATATACGGAGTATCATTTTTTAAATAATTTGTTGCATTGATAATTATATGACCTTTCCGGTAATTTCGTATTATTCGGGCACTTTTTCAGCTCTTTTTGCCAAACGGGCATACTTCATTCAGCTATCAGTTCAGATCCAGCATATTAAAGTCAGCTCCAGACAATAGTCTATGTTTCAGACAATAGCTCCTAATTCAGACATTAGTCTTCATTTCCAGCTCGTTGTGCCAAACATAACCCTAGTGTCCAACAACACCACTACTATCATAAAAGTACTGAATACGCACTTGTGTTTCCCCACGCTTACTGGCTACTGCAAACACTTCTTAATTTCACACAAACAGCTCGTGTCTTTACTCTTTAGTACTCTAGAGAGTTTTTAATTTGGGACTCGTGATGTTAACAGTGATACAGAGATGGAAATGAAGCCATTTTCACACAGGAGGAGAGTTCAACCAGGAGAGCTGGCTGGGTCATGGAAGGTGTTTGAGATGAGTGCCACACCAGTTTACGGCGAGGGGGATTGTACAGTTGGGAATGTTGTGCCGTATGTATACCTCTGCACGGAGAATCTAAAGAAAAGAAGTTTGCCCGAAAATGTCATTCACTTTGGGGAGGAAGAGTTGCGAGACATGCAAGATGCTACTGTCCTGTGGCTGCCGGGAGGTGTCACCAGCTATGTTGACGTGAAAGAGGATGGAATATTGTGCATCGGAGTTGGGTGGTATTCGGATGAGGGAATAAACCTGGTCCTAGAACGGGATTATGGAACAGATGGGAAACTCAAGGAAGTTAGGTGGAAGTCTGAAGTGAAGAGAAGGTGGACTAACCCTCCTCCCATGTAGTTTGTTAATAACTTCATTTCTAGTTGATCATTGTATATTTCTATGCTTTTTTATGGTTGATCAACATATGTTTTTTTCTGAGTACTATACTTGTAGACAATCAGCAACTAAATCTATATTGGAGTTGAATGTCAAAAGAGTTTCCTCTAGTGAATTTGGATTAGCTTGGTATTGAGGTATTCTGGTATGTACAATTCTTTGCGTACATGTATAAAAAGGGAGCTTGACACGAAAAGTGAAAAAAAATTCACTTCTACTTGGCTACGTTGTCATTTTCTATTCTAATACTGCACTTTTTCATGATGGCAAAAACGTTCAACTATTATTAAAAATGGCTTCAGGTTTTTAACCAAATTTGATGCATTTTAGGTACTTTTGGAGCTATTAGATCTCAATATCAATGCAATGCATGAAAATCATTCATATTTTTCACATTAAGACTTTTCTTATTTGATCCAGTGTGTGTGTGAAGTGTTCTTCATGAAAATTCAGTTGGAATTCAATTGAATAAAGTCTTGGAAGCATGTTCTTCATGAAGTATATATTATTTTAACAAAATTTCAGCTTAAAATCTAGCCCGAAAGTCAATAAGTATTGAAATCAGTTATACCAATAAAGAATGCTCAAATCAGCTCTAAGACTAAGAACATGTTTGGTAACACTGTAAGGTTGAAGTTACTTTTTTTGGCTGTTTCGGCTGAAGTTACTGTAGATGACTATTTTAGCTATTTTTACATATAATTTTTTCTTTATTTTATTAATAAAATAAATTTTAAATTTATTTTTTTCATAATTCAACAGAATTCGCCAATACAGTCACGTAAATCAGAACTTCATAAATTTCAGCAAGATCAGCCTTTATTATTATTTGTTGAACAATGATGTTGAATACTCCGTATATTTATGAACTTTAAATGTTAAATCATGATTTCTATAACTTCTGTAGTTGTATATTTTAATATAAAGTTGACCAAAAGTCCAAAACTAATGACTTTTGAACTTTTTTCAGATTATTATGGCTGTCAGAATCAATTGTTCATCCTCTGTAGGTTAATGGAAGCGTATACCATTACGGCTGACACCGTACAGTCGGTGACATTTTTGTAAATTTGATGAAGTTCGTGGTTTCTCTTAAATGAGCATCGATGTAATTTTGATGAGCATTAAGTTGGTTCTTCTGAGTATTAGAAGCCTAATAACGAGCACAGTGATCTCTGCTTCATATATTCTAATTCAGTTTCTTTTTATTAATTTTTCGTTTATAAAAAATTCTTAAATTATGTTTATAATTAATTTCAATATGTGAATCTAATGTAGTATAGTATGTTTAACACGTGCAACTTTGTAAAATGAACATAAAACAATACCAAATGAGCATACATAACTTACCACCTGAGTATCAAAATATTAAAAAGCTTATTTGTGTGTGCTCATTTGTTTTGGGAGTTATAATCATTTGAGTTTAACATAAAACTCTTTTTGAAATATGCATAAATGTAACATTTTAAAATGAACATGAAACAGTACAAAATGAGCATACATAATTACAAAATGAGTATCAAAATATTAAAAAACTCATTTGTGTGTGTTCATTATTTTTGGGCGTTATACTCATTTGAGTTTAACATAAAACTCATTTCGAAACATACATGAATATGACATTTTAAAATGAGTATTGCACTAATATCAAATGAGTATACATAAATGATGAAATGAGCATTCATAAAACTCATTTAAAATGTCTAATGTGCTCATAATTTCATTTGTTATGCTCACATCTGAAGAATTACATATAACTTAGATTTCTCTGACATGCTAATATGCTATCAACAAGTGACCAAACTCACTCATCAAACTTGGGAAAGAAAAAGAGAAAAAAGAAGAGTCCAGGAAAGAGGGAGAAGAAGCAATTAGGGCTATACACCAAGAGGAGCCACCACAAGAGCCGCCGCTCAAGCCGGTGTTGCGCTTGTGCTGAAGGTTGCGACTGTCGAGAATCATCATCTGTGTAGGTGAGAGCGAAGAACTAGAAGGATGTGCAGAGGAAGTCCAACGCCCTGCGATCTACGAAGCCAGTGCCCTGCGATTTCCGATCTAAAAGTCCGGCTGTACCGTGTGCATGGTACAACCGGTTGTACCATGTAATTTACGGTAGGTTAATGCTAAGTAAATGTTTTAATTAATCGAGAGTTCTACGGAGTACGGGGTATTAGGATGTTTTTACTTGGACTGTAATTTGCTGGTCTGGTCTGGTCTGATCTGGTCTGGTCTGAACTGGTCTGGTCTGGTCTGGTAAGGTCTGGTTTCTTTGTATTTTTATAACTATCCAAGTCTGGTCTGGTCTGGTCTGGTCTGGTCTGGTCTGGTCTGAACTGGTCTGGTCTGGTCTGGGGCAAATTACAGTCCAAGTAAAAACATCCTTACATTGTGATAGAACTAATATGGACTAAATATGGAGAGAAATTTAAAAAAGGAGTTTGAAGTGCTATTACAACGACCTTAGGGACAAAAAACAAATACAAAACTTATTACGGAGTAATAAGCTCCAATGAGATATAACCAGTTTTCAATGCTTTTACGTCTCTCTCGGTCTCAAATCTTGCATCTAAAAATCTCCCTGAATTGCACAATCAATCAACTAACATCGAGCGGGCGGGTCTCTCATTTTCCGTTTAACATTTCTCTTTGATCGCCATGAATCCTGAGTAGTATGTTGTTTTATCAATCTCCCCCCCCTCTGATTAGTACTCTGTATTATTTATTTTCCTTGTTATGTTTTCTTTCATTCGATATGTTTTGGAAGTAATATCTCTGTTTTTTTGCTGTTGAATTTATTACCTTTCACATGAATTTATTTGACCACTCAATTTTAGCTATTTTGTAAGTAAAAATCCTATCTTTGTGCTAGTTCTCGATCTACGCCATGATGAAGTATTGACCGGATCTGTTCCTGTTATCTTATCACCCAGCTATGATTATCTGTATATGTGTACACACGTGCATATGCTATGAAATTGAAAGTTTAACTATGCTGAAGTATTGGTATTGGATTTTTAGCGCGAAGGAGAAGTCTGTTTGATAAGCAGTCTCTAGGTACAAGGGAATTGACTTGGGATTATTGTATGATCATTATTCTAAATGGTCTGAGTCATTGGGCAGTTCAAATGGACGAGCTTAATAAATGTATTTTGATTTTTAAATGCAACTGAGTAAATGCTTTAGATATCTGAGTCGATTAAGCTTATTAGTCATGAACCAATTTTAACATGTACTCCCTCCGTCCCTTAATATGGGTTAATAACATCTGATGTTTCTAAGAAAATGTCTGACTACTGCTTCCATTTAACTTGAGTTGTCAGTTTACTATCTGTGTTTGTACTTTTTTAGAAAGTTAAGTGAAACACAAATCAGCAGATATTCAACATGACATAACCGCCACACTTTTTGTGTGTGTGTTTAAACTGAGTAGATGAATTTTACCTTGAACTAAAATTTGAATGCTGAAGCTCCCTTCGTCCGATTCCTTAAAAACTGAACTGGAGCTTTTTGTGATAATTCCTGATTTTTAGATAGTGAGTGTAAATTTTCACAAGTCAGAAGAGCCTCTAACTAATACGAGATATTCCCCTTCACAACCTTATGGCTCTCCTAACTCTTTGCATCTGTTTCTCCATGCAGTGATTATTTGTTCAAACTTTTGCTAATTGGAGATTCTGGTGTTGGGAAATCATGTCTTCTTCTGAGATTTTCTGTAAGTGGATATTAAATGTACTCCTGACTCCTGTGTATGCTGGACACCTATTTAGTTTGTGTTTACTTATGCCTGCTGAATTTAGGTGAGGATCAAAGCCTTGATGAGCTTGTGAATAAACTACTTAAAGATTCTCTCATTTTTGCGGTTTTGATAAATGACATTCTAAGAAGAGTGTCTAGTCGCTGCTGAATGCTGACTCATTTTAAGAAGGCTGCCCAGTTTCCAGTAGTGACTGTTATAGTTTGGGAATAAAAGTGATGTCTAACAATAGTCACTAAACTGAAACTGTTTAATTTATTTTGTTAGGATGACACATACATGGAGAGCTATATAAGCACCATTGGAGTTGACTTTGTAAGTAAGTTGTGTAATAACTGTAACTCCATAAATCTTTTCATTATAGTGTAACTATAAGTTTTTATCCAAGTCCCGGCCTACAGCCTTCCACGAAGGGTGGGTCTGGGTAAGTAGAACCAAGAAGGAAGGTGAACAAAGGGAAAATTTCACTGCTTGTTCTTCCTTGTAGAAAATCCGCACTGTGGAGCAAGATGGGAAAACTCTGAAGCTTCAAATTGTGAGATTCTCTATGGACTAAAGCCTGAGTTCTTTTATTTCACAGTTTCCCCATACTTTATTTGGAAAATCGATCTTCGTAAATCTTATTTAAGTTGCGGTATTGGTTCTTTGTCAATATCTAGTGGGATACTGCCGGACAAGAACGATTTAGGACTATTACTAGCAGCTACTATCGCGGAGCTCATGGCATAATTGTGAGTGTCTTCCTGCAAAATCCTTATTCTCCTTAGCTTTAATTAATTGGCTAATTAGTTGGTCTGTATTCTCTTTGGCACATGGAGAAATTTACTCTGGAGGGTAGACAAGATATTTTAATATAGTGAATTATTAAAGTTTTGCCTTCAAATACAAAAACAAGTATACCATACAGGCACACACACAGGGATAGTATCAGCTGATAAACTCTCACCTGCGAAATATTACTTGTAGTAACAAAAACATAATTGTTATGACAAAAAAAATGAACATCTTATTGGTCATATTTACTGGAATGCAGGTAGTTTTTTTATAGTAAAAAACATTGATTAGAAGTCAGACTTTTTGTGTTAAGTGTTACATTTTGTTTACAATAAGTTATATTTCGGAGGTGAGAAACAAATATTTATTTCTCAGGTGATCCTTTTTCTATATATGTAAATGTAAATATGTACTTATGTACGGGGTTATATATAAGTAAGTGCTTCAGGGTATAGTTATTATATGTAAAGTAACAATGTTTTCAACAGTATAGTTACTCTGGAGGGGTACACAAGATATTTTAATATAGTGAATAATTGAAGTTTTTCCCTTAAATACAAAAACAACTATACGATACAGGCACACACACAAACAGGGATAGTATCAGCTGATAAACTCTCACCTGCGAAATATTACTTATAGTAACAAAAACATAATTGTTATGACAAAAAATTTAACATCTTATTGGTCATATTTACTGGAATGCCGGTAGTTTTTTATAGTCAAAACATTGATTAGAAGTCAGACTTTTTGTGTCAAGTGTTACATTTTGTTTACAATAAGTTATATTTCGGAGGTGAGAAACAAATATTTATTTCTCACGTGATCCTTTTTCTATATATGTAAATGTATACATGTACTTATGCACGGGGTTATATATAAGTAAGTGCTTTCAGGGTATAGTTATTATATGTAAAGTAACAATGTTTTCAACAGTATAGTTACTTTGGAGGGGTACACAAGATATTTTAATATAGTGAAAGTGAATCGTTAAAGTTTTTCCCTTAAATACAAAAGCAAGTATACCATACAGGCACACACACAAACAGGGATAGTATCAGCTGATAAACTCTCACCTGCAAAATATTACGTATAGTAACAAAAACTTAATTGTTATGACAAAAAATTTAACATCTTGTTGGTCATATTTACAGGAATGCCGATAGTTTTTTATAGTCAAAACATAGACTAGAAGTCAGACTTTTTGTGTTAAGTGTTATGTTTTTTTACAATAAGTTGTATTTTAGAGGTGAGAAACAAAATTCGAAGTATTTATTTCTCACGTGATCCTTTTTCTATATATGTAGATTAGTATATTTACTTATGTATGGGGTATTTATATATAAGTAAATGCTTTCAGGGTATAGTTATTATATGTAAAGTAACAATGTTTTCAACCTGAGGGGATTGAATGATAGGTTGTATATGATGTCACGGATGAGGAAAGCTTCAAGAATGTGAAGCAATGGCTAAATGAAATTGATCGATATGCCAGTGACAATGTCAACAAACTTCTTGTTGGTAACAAATGTGATCTTGCAGATAAGAGAGCAGTGCCATATGAGACAGCTAAGGTGCTTGTTGATTATAATAGACATAAACTCGGGTTTCTTTTAAGACTGTATTGAGGCATTTTTCTTTGGATGAAAGTATATTTATTGTGCTTTCTCTCATTATACAGGCATTTGCTGATGAAATAGGTATTCCTTTTTTGGAAACTAGCGCAAAAAATGCTACTAATGTAGAGAGTGCTTTTATGGCTATGTCTGCTGCAATTAAGGAAAGGTAAGATGTGCTTGCTGTATACTGAGTACGGAGTCTATTAGAACAGCACCAAAATCCATGCATTTCCCTTAAGTGTTTTTAGTATCATTAATCTGTATATATGAGTTATGTATGAAATGATTTTTTAGAACTTTAATATAAGATCTTTCTGACACAAGTTAAACTTTGAAGTATTTAAACATCCATTGTCATGTACAGTATTCTGCTTTCAGTTTCTTGTGTTGGGTGCTTTATATAGGAGAAAGGATTACCAAGTTTTGAGACCTATTCTTTTTCATAAAAAAAACTACCCCTTCATAGATTTGTGACTAATTATCTTAAAAAGTTTATGTTCATGCTTTATTATTAATTTATTATGGTGCAAATAGAGCCCATTTTGTAAAATTTGACCAAAATGATTGGATTTGCTCATTTGCTAAGCTTGTAGTAAAGTGTTTTTTCGTTATATTGTATCTAAATGTGGATCAATTATCTTAAAATGTATTTTAAAGGAAATTTTATAATGAACCAACCCATTATAGTAGTGTTATTTATCGTTCTTTCTTGAACTCCATTATCTAAAAAATCTTGCACTATTTGTGTAAGGTGAATGGTACCCATAAAAAATGAAGGTACCATATCTATCACAAACTCCCTCTATCGCGGAAACAAGTTCCCACTTTCCTTATTTGGATGTTCCAAAATAAACTTCCCATTTCCTTATTTGGCAAATTATCTACATCAAAACAAAAACAGTGTCAAACAATGCAAAACAGTGCCAAACAGTGTCGAAACGGTGTTGAAACAGTAAAATTTACCCCTCAGTAAATTTATTTCCTAAAAATGTGTGAAAATCAACCCGGGAACTTGTTTCCGGGACGGAGGTAGTATTTGATTGGTCCAAGTCATTATTTCATTAATTGTTTATGTATAATTCAATTGCAATATTCTAATTGGTCTATGTGGAAAAGGTACTGTACCTTGAGGGTACCATAGAATTTGCCTTTTTGTAATTGATAAGTCCCGCCAATACATCAGTGTTTGGTTAAATAAGTGTATGAAAGAAATTCCGGTCGGTAAGCCAACAAAATTGGAGTAACCAAAAGGAACCCAAGACAAGAAAAAGGAGAGAGCCCAAGACTTCGTTCGCTCTGCATATACTAATAATCTTATATACTATGTTTGATCTATGTAAATGCAGGATGGCAAGCCAGCCAGCAAACGCGTCGAAGCCTCCAACTGTTAATATGAAAGGGCAGCCAGTTGCACAGAACAGTGGTTGCTGCTCTTCCTAAGGGCAGTATACCCTTCTAGTTTGATCAGTTATTGTGTTGCAATGTCGACTAATTGAATCTCTCCCAACTTCAAGTCTTTGTTAATTCTTCAACATTTGTTGCTTCAATGTTATATGTATTCTCAGTTAATATTGAAATATTGCAAAACAATAATAATGGTAGGGATTACATACTTGTATGACACAATTGTCTTTCTTTAACATCAGCAGGCACCCCTTGTCTCATATTCTAGAGTGCCATACGGTTGTCTGTAATGGTAAAGTCACTGACGGTTGTCTGTTAGTAACATTTTGGACCTAGGTGGTGCTACCTAGGGTCCAAAATAAAAAGATGGTTCAAATACATATACTCGGTGAAATTTGAGTTGTGTGTAATGCACTGAAATACAAGAATATCACGTGAACTTAAATCTCTAACCTACTAAAACAGAAAACTTAATCCAACAGTGGTGTTATGTAGAATTTCTCCTTTTAAAAATATCTACTACATATAAATAAATTAATTTAAATTATGTCATTTCCTCATTTCCTATATTTATTTATACTCCATTTTAATATAAATGTGTATCATCTTTAAAAGTAGTTAGAACAAGCCGCCATTTCTTGAGATATCTACTAAAAAACCTCTTCAGATGATCAGTCTTAGATCAGACGCTCTATCGTGTCAGATATCATAAATGTTTTGCTCTAAATTTTACTTTTTATTCCTTTACTCTAAAAACACCCGCATGGTTACAGTTACATTTCCATATGCTACGTAAGTTCTAAAATATCTAGAAAAAATTAAAACTACTCCTTCCATCTCATCGGACTTTATAAACTTTCATTTTTGTTTATCCCAACAACTTTGTCATTCCCTATTTAAAGTAATGAATATGTGGTTCTCCTTATTTTCACTCTACATTACACAATTTTTTCTTTTCTTATTAGGGGTGGACTCGGGCCGGTTCGGGCCCGGTTCGGGCCTGGGCCCGGCCGGGCCTCGGGCCAGGAAAGTTGGGCCCGAGCCCGAACCGCCGGTGGGCGGTTCTGGTTCCGGCTCCGGGCCAAACCGGGCCGGGCCGGGCCGGGCCCGGCCTAACCGGTTATATATATATATATATATATATATATATATATATATATATATATATATATATTTGGCTCTTCTATTTAACCCCCAACCCCTCCCCCTCAACCCCAAACCACCCCAAACCACCTCAAATGGCCCAAAATACCTAATCCAACCCAAAACTTAAAAAAAATTCAAAAAAAAAAAAATTTAAAATTAAAAATCGGCCCGAACCGGCCGGGCCGGTTCGCCAAAACCTGGGCCCGAGCCCGAACCGCCCAGCGGCCGGGCCGGGTCGAACCGAACCGAACCGGTGGACCCACCGGGCTCCGGGCCGGGCCGGGCCAAACAGTAACCGGGCCGGGCCGGTTCCGGGCCGGGCCGCCCGGCCCGAGTCCACCCCTATTTCTTATGTCTTGCTCAAATCAAAGTAGGGAATGTGCAATGAGACGGAGGAAATATGAGGCAAAACAGGATGAAGCCTCAAGACAAGGCTCAACATTTTAAGTCTATGCATGATGAAGGCCCCTTTAAAGGCAACAAAGGCATGGAAAAACATTTTAAACTTCCATTTAGAAATTAAAGTGTAATATTTTAAATAATGACATATAAAAATATATATATAAAGTTTGAGCAAAGTTTTTAATTTCTTTGACGAGTATAGTTTTCAAGTATAGAAAACTACAATACCAAATCTGCTTTTTCGATAGAGAAGTAAATCACATTTTTAGCCACTCATTTATTTTTCATGTTGTATCGTAGCCCCAAATCTGGGTATTCAATTTTGTAAATTTCATCAACAATTTTTCAATTTTTTGTAAATGTAATTTCTCCGTTAAAATTGAACTAACACCATTAATTTTTTTAAGATGTGTATAACCTTTTTTTATATATAACTTTGACACGGTTGAGATTGTGTATAACCTAATTTTTTTAAAGATGTGTATTTTTTTTTAAATTATAAACATCTTGTACACAGTTTATAAATATTTTTTCTCTAAAGTGAGGCCATAAAAACTGTCAGTCATAAAAATAAGAAATTATACTCTGTAGATAGAAATAATTACTAATTTATGACTAAATTAAATATTGTTTAAAAAATGTGACTAGTACAGTAATAGAATCATAGTAACTTATGTTCTATTTTTGAATTCAAGTTATCATGAAACATAGTTTGATATTTACAAAAAATTGTCAGACTAGGTAAACATTTTATAGTTTTGTTAACATTTACAAAATCCTTGGATCGATATGTCTTGTCTCTAAAGTTAGGTCATAGACAAAATTTATCGATCAAAAAAGTTAAATTCTATATATAAATGTTTGGTATAGTATTATAACGTTTTAGACAAGTTAAAAAGTGTGCATTTTTTGTGCCACACATTTACCGTCTGTAATGTAGAAAAATTACACTATCATACATAGTACAATTAATTTTCAAGCCTTGTCTAATTTTTTTTTTTTGCGTCAGGATCTGTAAAAATTGGATTTTTCCTATCAACGTTTTTATCTTTCTCTTAACCTTACATAAAAATATGTGAGTGCAAGAGATTTAAAAAATGTGCAATTTTTTTACCATTTTTTGACCTCTTTTAAAGTATTTTCGTTTGTAGCACACTTATTATCTATAAAAGTGGAATATATCGACTGACATTTTTTTTATTGAGGCCTAACATTTTATACAAAAAAATGTTAATGCGAAAGTTTTTGAAAATATGTACAAATTGCGTACAATTTTTCAAATTTGTTTGAAACACTATTATCTATTTCAGACATGTATTGTTTGTAAAATTAGATTTTTTGTGGCCGACATCTTTTGTTTGTGGCCTAACTTTATAGAAAATGTTGATTCATAGTAAAAAAGTAGGGTTTTTTTACAAGAATATTACTAAAATAAAACTTATTTACATAAATATGACTATTCATTACTACAATGTAGTGTTGTGGTAACTTAAGTTCAAAACTTCAACATGAATTACTATGATTTCATTACTACTCTAGTAATGAGTCATATTTTTGTAAATCATCTTTATTTTGGTCATATTTATTTAATTATTTCAAAAAAGTATTCAATTTTCTGGCCCTCTCATTTTTGTTTTGTCTCGGCCGGATATCTATGATCCGTAAAATAAAATTTTTCTCACCAACATATTTAATCTCTGGCCTAAATTTAGAGACAAAAGTTATCACTGCAAAAAACTAAAATATTACATATTTTTTGTCGCGTCAAGTTACAATCTTAACCATGTCAATGTTACAAAATTTGATAGTGTTACTTTAATTCAATGTTAATCATCACATTTCCACAATTCACAATTGGGGATGACATTTATAAAGTTGAATGAACATATGAGAGGATTATATTTCAATAAGAGAATAATTAAAGGATTAAAAGTGCGACTATCATTTGATGGAGTATATGGATCCAAACACAAGTCTAATCACAGAATTGATTCAACTTTTGCTTCTTCTTTCAAAAACAGAAGTAAAATCAGAATCAATTTTTTGACCAATTTCCAAAAATTGCTTGTTGGAGTAATACAATAGTATTTGCTTGTCCATTAAAACACCCTCTTACTCAGTTACTCCATCTCGTTGCTCCATTAAGATGGCGATTCCTGTGACCTAAAAGTCTGCCCTTGGGTTGAACAAAACTACTCCGTATTCACCAACTGGACAGACCCAACTAATAAATCATAAATGACCCAAACATATCAATGCTGAACAGACCCAACTAATAAAAAATACCTACACGGAAATTAATTTAAGTTGCTTAATTCTTACAGAACCAGTAGCAATAAAACTGTTTAAACAAAGCATAAAAACATTACTATTTCCATCATTTTGAATGTATATTTCTCGTTTGAACAACATAAAGCCTTAAATACATGGACAAAAGTCCTTAAACACGAAAACTGAATTCCAACATATTGTTACCACCGACTATGGTATCTAAACTTTCATATACATGTCGTTTCATTTTAATTTATGAACAATTAAGTTCCGATCCGCATAAAAAAATTGTCCTTTAAATCTTTAATTTACAACTGCCTTTGTGAATTGGGTGTCCAGGCTAGAAGATCAATCCTGCAAATTCCTCAAGTACTTCAATTTTGAAATCTAAGTTGGAATTTGGAAATGCATGTTCTTCAAGCCGTCCTTAAAAAATAAAAACTAGGTGTGCCGTATTGTTCGGGAGTTTCTTCCATTTTCACTTGCTCCTGAGTCAGTGACACTTTTGGTACTCGACTTTCAATTTTTTCATTTTTAGTCCTCGACTATTGCGCGAAAAGACACTTTTAATTCTCGACTTCAATGTTTTCTACATTTAGTCCCCCGAGTATTATAAAATTGACACTTTTAATCCGTCCATTGTGAATTTGATACAATTAGTGGAGGACTAAAACTGTCACTATTATAATAGTTGAAGAACCAAAAATGTCACTTTTATGAAAGTTGGATGACTAAATGTAGAAATTTTCAAAGACAGACACCAAAAGTGTATGTCACACAATATAATAGTCAAAGAACTAAAAGTGGAAAGGGAAAAGGGCCAAAAATGACACTAATGTTTTTAATAAAGTCCGGATTGAACACTAAAATTTTAGGAGGATCAAATAAACCCAAATTTAAACTTATTGAATCCATTTAAGTCACCCTTAACTGCTCAGTTATTTTGGTCCGTTTGATGCCCCTAGAAAGCAGAACTTCGCCTCGCTTGCTCCCAATCCTCAGAAACCAGAACCCATCGATTCAGATCTTCTTCTCCCAAGTGCAGCAATCGGCACACATCTTCTACGGTGAACAGAAACACCGACTCGCTACTTCAAATTAAACCAGCAGCAAAAATGAGAGATTGAGCTCCTTCTTCTTGGGCACATGGATAACAAGAGATCAGAAATCGATGGCTACCTTCCTTGAAACCTCTGCTCGCCGCTCCACAAAGAAAATCTGGCCAGTGATGTACAGCTTCGGAAGCAGCTCACCGATCAACTTTATCTTCTGGCGAACGAGCACCGGCAACGGGGACAAAGACTCCTCTGATTTTCAACCGACTGATTTCTTTCTCTCCAACAAACGACACCATTAGTCCGACAAAGAACACGGACAATGGTCCACTATTCTTCACAATCAATAGGCAGCCTCGACATCTAACACAGCAAACCAACATCAAAACCCGCCTATAACACCAACATCTCTGTGCCGCTCATCACCAGAAGAAAATTGCAGCAGACCATCGTTAGAAATTGATCTCAGCAATAGCTCTACGATTCTTCATCCTCCGGCAAACCGAAGGCTACTTTAGACACCCTCCTTAATTTGATCCGTTCAAACGTACAGAAGGCT